TTGAGCCCTGAGGGTAGTTACCTGATCCGGCATTTAACCTGATATTGTAATTTGGCAGTCTTTGAGAAGCAGGTACAGTATATTATATGTGACAGTGATTTATATCTGTGCTGAGAAATAAATCTGTAAAGGACTTCCAAGAGACAACCGACAGGAGGACTGTATTTTTTTATTGAGAGATTTTATAGAGGCATTCTAGTCTGCCAAAGAAATACAGCTGCTTGTAAAGTCCACATTTTGATGATGGGTTAAACTAAACAATTCTTAACCTTATGTTTGAGGGCCTCTGCTGTTTCCTGCAGCCTTTTTTTCTCCCTCCTGTTGTGTTGTAACCTCCTGTGATGTATTTTAACTAGGGACTTAAAGATGCTTTCCATTGTATCCTGGTCTTAAAATTCCACGTTGTTCTCTGATTTGTCTGCCGTTTATGCCCAAGCTGAAGAGTGAAAGTGTACACTCCCCCCATGTCATAACTTCCTCTGTTTTCTTCCATCTCTTCACGTTCTCCCTCTGCCCCCTGCTCCCCCCCAACCTTATCACGAGACTAATAGCTTTGGAGGGAGACACTGGGATTTTTCCGTCTCCCACGGTGCTCCCTAGAGCTCAGTAGTGCCTAAAACACGCAACAAGTGTTTACTAAGATTCATTTTGGAGCTTTGTAGGGTCCCATGGCTCCAGCATGAAGAGTTTTCGCTTAATGGCAGACAGTCCTCCAAACTATTCTTTCCTCACAAAATGGTTTGTTTCTGAGGAAACAAATGCTATCTTGTTTTCAAGTAGTCTTGCTTCTAAAACCAGTTTATCATTCTCTTCCATTGGATTCTTGTTCTCACCCTGGCCCTGATTACCTTCAGAGTGCAATAATATACATGAGGTTTGAGGGTGGAATTGGCAGGGGAGACAGAATGTTACTGGAGTATTCTTACAGTCTCCAGTACAGCCATGGCTTTGTTGTGTCTGGCTTGGATTAAAAATACAGCAAATTTGATGTTTACTAGTCTCTAGGGGCATTTGTTTGGCTTTGGAGATTCATTGTGAAGGTCTGTTATCAGTAGCCTAGTCTTGTGGAAGGCTCAGGGCTGGGCTGGCAGGAGGTCCCATGGACCAGGGCTGGGGAGGATTGTGAGTGTAGAACTGGCACTGACAGGCTTGGTACAGATGGGTGCTGAACTGCAGTAGTGCTGGGAGAACAGGCTGGGATAGCAGGGACCATGGAAGGTCAGGGTTAAAGTGTAACAGCAGTAATGTGAGCATCTGCCCCGGGATAGCAGGAGAAGGTGCAGCGAAAGACGGATTGTGAAGATCTGGATCTGCAGGAGTGAAGATCTGTGCTGCGCTGTGCTGACGGAGGAATGCTTTGTGCAAAAAGCTTGCAGAGCCCTGCCTTCAGTATACCTGGTTCTGGTCACTGCTGTGAACGCATCCTTTTCCAAGGACGGTAACAAATCACTGTACTGGCCATGAACGTAACAAGCAAGCAAGCAAACAAGCTAAGGAGAGCCTGGTTGTGCTTGCACAGAAGCGCTGCAAACCCCAGCTATTCACGTAAGGCTTGTCTCCTCTTTCTTTCTTAAGGGATTCCATTCCCCCCTGCCCCCACCCTTTGCACTCTAACGCTATGTTTGTGCCTTGGAGATGTGGAGATGAGCGTATGATGGATGGATGGATGCTGCTTGTCTGGGTTTTTCACCACCATTTCCCCTGGGGCACTCTGTCTGCTGGCAGAGAGCACCATCCCAAAAGATGGTATCTTTTGCAAACTCGACAGCTAACAGACAGCTTCTCTCTCTGCATATTTCCCCAAAGAAGAGCAGGCTTAATCTGGTTTTTATATGGCATATTTCATTATAATCTTTTTGACTTCCCATGTTCCCAATACGCCATCATAAATAAAACGCTGGGGGTGGGAACAGGAGAGATGCTGAGGCTTCACACTCTTGTGACACTGATAGATTCTCATTTTAAACTGTCATGGGATTTAATTGCTTGCTGAGCCACTGCACTGCACTTTCAGACACATCCTGCCACATCCTCTTAATGAGCTTAGTGGCTGCATTCACTCAGCAGTAGTTCTGTTCGCTGTGAATTAGGTGGCTTTTTTAGACCACCTATATGGTTTTAAAAAGGTGGTGGTTATTAAGGTAATATCCTTGGATTTATCCACCTTAAACAGCACTTCATGGGCTCTCAATATATAGTTTCCTTCGGCACTTTTTATGTTCCTAAAAGCCAGCACCAAGAAACAAAAATACAAGAATCTATGTGCAAAGTCAGTGTTTGTCTAAGAGGGTTTTTGGAAGCGGGACTGCTTTGGTTTGCATAGTAGCTGTCTCTGGCGTGATAGATCATGCTGGAACTCACCCAATAAGTATCTCTGTTCCCAATTAGAACTGGAAATGGAGCTGCTTACGAGTGCACAGAGATGATGGCTTGGGTGGCAGCTGCTACTGTGGAGATGGAAATGATCCATTGTAAAACAAATACATTACACTGTATAGAAAAAGGGATGGTTGTTTTTAATTTATGTTTCAAAGAGACACAGAAAAGTTGCTTAGCTCCCAACATGTTGTAAACCCAACGCAGCATATTTAAGGACGGGAATTTGCAGCTATTTTGGTGAATCAGAACTTGAAAAAGCCCACCATTTTGTAGGATTTGTGAAAAATGTGCTTCTTTTGGAGGCTGCTAGCCTAGAAAGCAGACACAGGAATCATGCTGGCATGGGTGCTTGTTCAGATTCTACCACCACAGTCTAAGGACCTTGCTAAATAGTGAGGTTGCTGTACTGAGCTGGTAAGCAGAAATAGGCACGTTAATTTAATTGCTATGGAAGGGACTCTGCCAAGTTAGGAAACATACATTTTAATTATATGCACACAGACATATTTGAATTATACTACATTCGCAATATTTAGCTGTGGCACCAATAATGCTGTGGTTTATTAAAACAGGAAGAATACTTAAAAAACACTTCATTTTTCACTGATGATTTTTTTTGATTTGGCACTTCCATTCTGTATGGTTCTGACTGTTTCCTGGATCTCCTACACTAACCAGGTGCTATTGCATTTGCAATGCTAGTCAAAAGGAAATTTATCTACAAACCTTCTTACAATTTTTATATAAAAGCCTAAGCTTTTAGTTATACTGCTTTTACTAGTAGTTATTACTTGCTATGAAGATTATGTTGTCTGAAATTGCAGTGTCTGGAGGAGAGCTGGTGTTAACCAGGAGTTACAATAGAAAGAATTTAGAACAATTAGTGGGTAGCAAATGTTATTACCTATATTTAAAAATGATTTGGATGTGATTCAAGGATTTAAGGACTCATAAATTCTGCATGAACATTTGAAAAATTGATTGAAACAGTAATTAGGTATAAGCAGTAAAGCACCTGGGAAATGATGATATAGGAGGTTCTAACTGACTACTCTTTTTTTTATCCTACTAAGGAAAAGCACGTCTCACTACTTCCTTAAAATTCTTTACATGATATGTGAAGGACCAATAGATAAGGGAGTTGACAATTCACTTAGACTTTCTGAAGACCTTTGTTATGTAATAGGCCTCCCAAAAGAAACAAAGCATTGTCTGGGTTCAAAACTTGTAGAATAAAAGGTGAAAGAAAGAACAAAATGAAACAAAGATCTTTCATTTCAGCTGGGGCATCAAGGTTTGGTGTTTGGTCCAGTGTTGTGGAATACAGCAGAGAACAAGCCAGAGGGAGGGTGTACCTTGTGAGCGACAAAGATTTGCACATAGTACAATGTTATTGTGAGCCCTTGTGGCCAGGGAAGTCTGTGTGGGCCTCCTTGGGGAGATCTGAATGTGCTTGGTGAATGGGCGGCGGGATGGATATTGGCATTTGTCACCTGTGTGTTGTGTTATTTAGAGGAGGTTCTTGTCCCTGTTACAACATTCCTGGTTCTGCTTGTTATGCAGCTTGGACACCTTAGGACACTGCCTGAGGGGTAATATAAAGAGTATTGTAATGCATTTGTTTAAATGGGGGATGTGTCGTCATCTGAAATTACCAGGTGCAGTACTGGTCCATCTTGGCAAGATTATTGAAGAATAAGAGGAAATTCAGAGAGGTCTAACAGGACAAAGCCATATGGAAAAATTCCCACAGCAGAGTAATAAAAAAGATTGTGACTGTTTATCCTCAAAAGGAGAGGAATAAAAAGAAATTACAAAGGAGTTTGGTCAGGAACTTCTATTTTCCCCATCTGACAGCAAGAACAAGGGGCAAGCAATAAAGTGAAGCACTCCTTTCAAACCATAGTTTAAACGTTGAACTCAGGTGGGAAACAGGGCAAAAGTGTATCAAAATGCAGAAACATCTGGGCATTCTGTACATTTCCAGAAGAGACAGATTTAGGATAACTGGAAGTGATACTGCAGCTATCCCTCAGGACTGAACTGTTAGAGATGAGGAGGAAATGTAGTATTAGGGTAGGTTCTTTTCTTTGCGTCTCTCTCTCGTGACGGACCCTCATACCTTCTTCTGCAGCAGCTGGTGTGACTGATAATACAGCACAAGTATCAAAGCCAACAGAGGCAAGTGTGGGCTTACAGCTTCATTTCTCAAGCCTAGAAGACTCTTTCTGGCCTTTTTTGAAGCTTCTGACACTGGCTGGTGCCTTTCTAAGCAGGACAGTGGGTGGGATGGACCACGCCTTGCTTCCATACAGCAGTTCCCTTGGACTGGAGGAAGGCATGATCTTTCCCGTGGAAACTACATTTCAGGCATTGAGTTGGATTCTCAGTCTTCTTTAGGGTACAGGCATAAGAGAAAAATATACTTCTCTAGCTTTTGTGGGAAAATCCTGAAGAGTTAAATGGGAAGGAGAAAATTAGGGTTTTAGTGAAATAAATGTGATGATCCCTAGCAGTTTTTAACTATTTCTCTAGGTTAATGGAACCATCGTTTATGTTTCTGGAGACTTTCATCTCTGAGGATTCAAAAAGTGGTTTGGAAACGTAATTATTAATTACAGACTAGCCATCTTCCATGATGGACTGGATTCATTACAAAGATTGAGTTCATTACAAAAAGGTTGTCTTTGGACTTTTGTAGGTTTTTATACTGTAAACTTTACATTCCAGGTAAGAGAGTGTCTGCCCTTTCCCACTTTCTAGAGTTACTTAGGAATGAAAATGGACTTCTAGAAGCTACCAGTGGGGAAGAAAAGGAAGGAGTTGGCCAGCAGTAGGCTTAGTGGGCAGGTGGGAGGCAGCTGCCCTGAGGTTTTTTTTGCTGCATTTCCTGCTCACTAACTTAACTTCTTGGTGACTCAATCTCCCCATCAGTAAACTGGGAATAAAAGTATTCCTTTACATGGCCTTGTCAGTGGGATGTTAAATTTAATAATTAAAAAATGCTCTGAGAGTTTTGGATGAAAAGTCTCCTGGAGTGTTGCTGGTGGGAAGTAGCAGCACCACACAAAACAAACATGCCTATTGAAGACAGCTGCTGGTTTTTGACCTTAAAGCCTACCTTTGCCTCTGACTTAATGTTCCATATCTCTGGAACAAACAGGAAGTAGTTGTACTTTTGTATACATTTTGCTTACCCCTCACCCCTTCCTTGCTCATTCCCTTCTTCTAAGGCATTCATTTGCCGAGCGTATTGGTATCCAGAGGCAGGCGTAGCTTGTCACAATGAAGACGTGCTTGTTTCCAATGCCCTTGAGCTTGCTAGAAGCTTCTTCTCTTGCTGAATGTATGATGACCCCTCGGGTTTTGCAGTCCCACAAGGTTCTAAATACAAAGCAAATGCCCTTTTGCACCTAAGCGCAGGACTTTGAAACCCAGCCAAGCCCACAGCCTGAGATGATAATGGAGGTTCCTTAGTGACTTTAGATTCAAGGGTTGGGATTTGCACATAAATCAAGTCTCAAATCCCTTCTTTCTATTGAAATGTCTGGATTTAGCATCCAGAGGGAGGTACTAGCAGTTCATACAGGGAAATTAAATCTGTATGATTCTCTGTTGACTTCTCTGGCTTTTTTAATAGCTCAAGTAAGGGAGAAGTTGGGGAAGGTGGCATAGTGGGTGTGTGTGCAGAGCTTAATGCCGAAAGCAGAGGCCTGATTGAATAGACCTCCTTGTGATGAGAAGGGGGATCAATTCGCTGTTGACCCCATCCATTGTGTGGGTTGTCCTGGGAGTTTCCTTTGAAAATCCCAGTGGTTTGGGTTTTCTGCATGGTTTGTACTCAGCCTTTCCCTCCATGAATAGAATAGTTTTTGCTGGAATTTTTGCTGGATTTTCTGTGGTTATTGGCTGAGCAATGCTTTCTCACTTCAGAAGACTTGAGCAAGCATGTTGTGGAAGCACTGACCAGGGACCCTGAATCATTTGCTGGCTTAGAGTTTTTCATATATAGAACAAACATATTCCTGGGATGCAATTGCCCCCAAGAAACAGATTATATTTTACTGTCCCAGGTGGAAGTGTTCATTCATTACTTGGATTGCAGGAGTGATTTGGGGCTTTATAAACACAGGAATTTCTGCCCTGCAGGGTTTACAGCTCATGGTGATAGAAAGGCAGGGAGCTTCAGGCAGAATGGGGAACACAACCCAGTCCTAAAAGATGAGAAGTGGTCAGAGCTGTGAAATAAGGACACCAGATGCTGATTTGTGAGCATCAGTCCTGCACATTATTGCTTAATAAATCTATTGGCCTAGAGGAAGGAGTTCATTCTAGAAGGGAGGGAGTGCTTGAGAGATCCACACCTTGGCCTTGTCGGGTGAAGAGATGTTCAGGATGTTTCCCTGCTGTAGGGTTGCTCTGAATGAACTCCTGGACGTGTGGGTGGAGGCCAGGACCTATAAGAAAAACTGAATTCTTTCCTAGGTGTGTTTTAACATCTCACTAAATGTAACACGCTGTATTTACCTACCTACTGCACAGCCTCATAATCTAGTGGCAGCATTCCGAAGGGGAATAAGTCCCTGTTCCTTCACCTGAATGGCAAGTTGCATCAAGCTTCCTGGTAAACCCACAATGTCTCTTGGAGTCCCTTGCCTCAGGCCTGCCCCCGGGCCAGCCTTTGGCTCTTCCTGCAGTGACTGGGGGTTGTCCTGTCTTATGGGCTAGATTCTACAGTCAGCTGTGCTGTAGGCCCATTGGGATGGGGTCCATTGGTGTAGGCCCATTTAAAGCAAACAGAAGATTTTATCTAGTGAATATTACGTGAAAATTCAAGACATATCCCTTTGTTTTTTCAGACTAAGTTCTTAACATTGGCCCCAGACACTAGCATCCCCATGAGTGGAACATGTCGTGGTATAGGAGAATGTTGCTTGAAGGTGTGCTGTATGAACTCTGCCAGATGCTAGAGTTCATACATTCAAATGTTTTTCTACTTCAGGAGATCAGACCTTCATATTTGATATTTGAGTATCTTAGGAAGCCCTGGTTTTGTTCCTTAATTGAAGCATAGGGAGTTAAAGGAGAATGATTTCTTCCCCATTTATTTCCTTCTGATACAGTATGTCCAGCCTTCTTTTCCTCTAAGCAAACACAGTGATTGAAGAGAGACCGTGGTTTTGGTAATATAAAAATGAATTCTATGTGTAGATCTTTTGCAGTTAAAAGAAGAATTTGAAGAACTCTCCTTCAAGGTAGAAACAAGCTTGAAAGTCTGTCAGTCTTCTACTTGTCGTCTCTGTCCTTCTGCTTGTTAGCTGTCTGGGGAAGACACATACAGTCAGTATGTTTTGTTTTTCAGAAGTTGATCTGCCTCTGAAGAAAGATGGATTCACCTCAGAAAGTACAACCCTGGAAGCCTTGCTGCGTGGAGAGGGAATAGAGAAAAAAACAGACACTAAAGAGGAAGACACTATACAAGAAATCCAGGTAAAGGAGAGCACCATGCCCTGACAGCAGGGCTGGGCTTTACAGTTTGTCTCTGAGCCTACCAGATTTTGTCCTGTGGCAGAACAGTGCATCTGTTGACAGCTGTGTCATTCTGCTGTCAAAATGCTATCAAACCATTGTGCCACACTGTGATGTTCAAAATGAACTTGGGATCTCACACACTTCTCTTGTCAGAAGAATCTTGGTTGTTTTGCTGTCTTCTGCACGGCTCCTGTGTTGGAGTTTGTTTTGCAGCACTGAGACGATTACATATAAAACTGACAAGCAGAGATGTGTCCCAGCCATAAACTGAGTTTTAGTGCCTCATATTTAAAGTGAATTTGGACATGCATTTGAATTTGGACTCACAGCTGCTGACTGTAGACAAAAATGTGTTGTTGCCTTGCCTGTTTTTTTTATACTGAGAAGCCTTCAGGAAGAGTGCAAGCAAAATAAATAACTAAAAATATTCTAATTTTAATGATTTCAGTTGTTATTAGCGATGGAGATATGAGGAATATTGCCTCTTCATGCTTTATAGTTTGAAAGTTCGTCATCAAGATTCCATTTCATCCTTTAACAATTAAGAGTAAAGACACATTTGTTGGTCTGTCACAGAAGGAATACCTCTAAAATAAAGGGTTCTTATATAAGGGCATGTCACTTTACAAAGACATCTTAAATCATTAGGAAAGTGGGCTTCTCCTGGGGGAGCAACGACGCATCTTTGGTGATGCTAAAACACCGTTGTGCTTATTAGTGATTTTTAGCCAGAGCCATTGGCAACGTGTCAAACTCGTTAATTTTGGCTGAGATACAACATGTTGAATCTATACCTAAAACTAGTAACAATTTGAGTGGCAGCTCCATGCCAAATGAAACAGAAGAGCGTGAGCATCAAATCTGTATTACTTGGAGCTCGGTCGTACTGGTCTGTTTGCTAGAGATTGCACACACGTAAGGGCAGCACCATTAGGTGTCCCATTCCCAGTTACACAGGTGAAGGAGCACCATCTAAGAGGAAGCATCCCATGCTCATGGAGTAGGGAAAAGCTTGGCACGAGGCCCGCTCTGTGTTTCCTTCTTCAGTAGTGTATCTGGGTCTATTAAGCTGAGCGCCCTAAAGGTCTGTTTATAGCTGCTTCCAAGGCCACAAGAAGTGATGACGCAGCATCCTTATGAGATCAACAAGTGCCTTTGGATGTTGCTGTGTGATCTCGGCTCCCAGATTACCCCCAGCAGCAGTCCATGGGAAGAGACTTCAAGGATGGGGGAGCTGACACAAGTCTGGGCATTGCAGAGCAGGCAGAGGGTGAAAAAATATACAAAAAGGTTTCAGCTGAACTGCTGTAGCTGTGATCTGTAACCTGGACGCAAGTTTCATCAGAACAGATGCAAAAGGCATGTCTTGCTGTTGTTTCTTATGCAAGTACAGCTTATTTGGATTCAGTCTATGTACAAACAATTGCCTTTACGGGTAGCCAGCTTTCGGTGTGTACTTAGGCACCTGGCAGCTACTCTCTACCAGATCAAAATCATGATCGGTGCCTCTTATCTGTATGACAAATAAGAGAATGCAAATCTCTCTTGTTCCTTTGCATGCTCTTTCTGTGCTGCAACTTGAAAGGGCTCAGCCTTTCAGGGTAGTGAGGGTGTAGGATAGACATGGTCATAATTCCCACCCCACCACCAGCCACTTACCACCCTCTCAAACTCACACTATCTGTCAGGAGAAGACAGCTTGGGGCTTAGCTGTGCTGAAGTACATTGGGCTGGGAAACTGTTTAGAAAGACAGAATAGGAAAAGTTCCTTTGTAAAAAGGGTAGGAGTTGCCACTGCTAAATGGAAGCAGTTATTGGGACCTGCTGTACAGCTGATACTTAACAGGGTTGAGGTTTTTGCCCTACAATAAATTGGTGTTGAATGTGCGTCTCCATTGTTTGCTGGGTAAGGCTTTGAATAGCCTTTTGACCATGCTTCAGAAAGGCTATGCCCCTCTGTCAAGAATTAAAGTCATTACCCTGCCAGTGTCCCCAAATTCCTACTTGGTTACTTATTATCTCTATCTTAAATTGGTGCTGCAATTTAAAATTAAAAAAGTGGTTTGCAGTAGTTCTCTTAACTGCTCTCGTGTAGTACTGTTGTTGCAAACTAGCTCCTTCCCTTCCACGTACGGTATGGCTGCAGCCTTCTCTTTTCTTGGAGTCACTTTAAGATATGAAATTCTGTGAAAACATAAACTCCTATCAGTAAGGTTGCATATTACATAGCACTAGTCACCTCAAGTACCATGTCTTCTGAGTGCTCCAGTTTTCTAAGATGAGGTCCATTAATGTACACAATTGCACGAATTCTGAAGAAACATTTTATACATGCAGAACTGGAACTTGCTTAACTTTTCTATTCCCTAGTGTTTAGTACTCTAGTATTATGTGAAATTATATTTCATGATAGTCTGACCTCATCGATCTCTCCTGAGACTTAAAAATAAAAGGAGCAAAACCAGATGAAGACTTGATCCTCTACCATGTTCTAAAACTTGCTTGTACTTTTTAAAAGGGACACTGTCCAATAATAGTCTTAAAAATTTAAGATAAATTTTGAATAAATTTGTATAGTTGGTCTTCCAAATACAGGCTTTTTTAAAAGTGAAATTGCTGTTATATTCTTTCCCGTGAATTGAGAGTTCTCTGCTTGAGGTATGTAGCAAGTAGAGAAAGCAACTGTGATTTGCTCCTGTTCTCCCTCTGCTGGCTCTCAAATAGCTGTTAAGTAGAAATTATAGGGAAGGGACAAATGCAGTAAAAGACTGAAAAACCTCCTCATCGGTTTAAAGTCACCAATTTGAATCTGCATCATGCTGTAATTTAAATGAATGGTGGCATGGCAAAGATAAGTTAGTGATTCCAGAGTAGCCCCTTACAAAACAGCACCACGCCAAGAGTGACAGGAGTGGCTGGGGACAATTTCTGTGTTTCTAGCAGACATGCCAAGGCTTGAGGGGGTTTCAAGCGGACTTCATTCCACATTAGCGTTGTGGTGGTTTGTCTTGCTTGTGTCCGAGCGACATCCAACTTGTGCATGTTTTCAGGGCAGCTGGCCTGTGTTTGATTCTGTAGAGGCTACATTTCAAAAGATCAAGATAAAAGGATTTAAATTTCCTAGCCTGTGCATCTCCCAGTTTATATGGGATGACAAATTATTGTTCCTATGAAGTGATTAAGTGAAGGAACTATTGCTATTGTTCCCGTTAGCTTCAATGAGACCTGTACTTCCTCAGCATTCTCATGGAGCAAGACCACTTCTTCCAGATTACAGAGTTGCACCTGTGTTGTAAGCCCTGATAAATGTTACTTTCTAGATCCACTAAACATGCTGAAACATATGGGGGAATAGTCCCTATTTTTGCTAAACAAAGAAAATTCTGAGCTGCCAAGAAGAAAAACACCGATTTCTGTCTTCTTAAAGTGCACTCTCAACGTTAGAGGAAAACAAAACAACTTAAGGTGCGAGAAACTAAAATCATACAATTTCCCAGACAGGGCCTGAAGTTATTCATACCAACACTTGTGTTGTCTTGGGAGATTGGTTCTCAGTGGTGCCACTCTTGTTTCTTAGGAACCTTTTTTTGTAGTTGACTGATATCAGTGGTATTTTTTAATAAGAACTCCTTGGAGAACTGTGGGTGGAAGGGAAAGCAAAATTTGCTTTAGCAGAAAGAAGTAGGGGTTCTGGGATCTGATTTGGCATTATATCATTAATCAACTGTAATTTAATAACCTGTAGTCACTGTGGTGAAGAGCAGCAGTTGGTTGTATGTGTCATCTTCTTTTCTTCTAATGATTCCTGTTCATTGTTCAACCACAGAGGGTTTTAGAAAATGATGAAAATGCAGATGAAGTGAATGAGGAAGAGGATTTGGAAGAAGATATTCCAAAACGAAAGAACAGGCCTAGAGGACGGGTAGGTGGAGACTTTATTGGAATGGACAGGAAGGAAGCAGACTTCTGCTTTCTCATGTACATCTGTCACGTATATTGTATATGCAAAGTGTATATCCATGGATATATAATAGATGACAGTGATAAGACTGTGGGTAATTTTCAGTGATATGGTTGAAGATTTTTTCAATATCTTTTCTGTTATTTTTGTGAATTACCAAGAAAAAAGACTCTCTTGAGAGTAAAAATTCAGGAAAAATTTAGAATTTTAATGTAAAGTGTAAGAATTCTGATGACATCCTGCTATTACAATACTCTTACTTTAAAAGAACATTTACTAATTACAGAAAATCAACAAATTCAGTCATGACAGCCAAAAAATACAGTTAATAAAAGTAACTTGAACTGTGTTAGTACGTTTTGCAGCTTTCTCCAAGGTAGCACTTTGTGCTGACACTGGCCCTCTTGAGCCCATGGCAAATCTTCCGTTTGCTTAAGATGGGCAATATTTTATCCTTAGGGGGAGTCTGTGTCCCTTCTCTTAACAAAGATGTCTTTTCACAATTTCAGCAGGGCACCAGTTAAGTAATGAGGCCAACATTTTAAAACCTGGAATTGACATTTTCAATTGTGGCCCCATAAGCTAGGCATCTATATGAACACAATTCTCTGAAGTTTCACGCATTTTCATCTCTCTTTGGCTCCAGCAGGTGCTGCAGGGGCACAGGAGCTCTAGAAGTACCTTTTGATGTGTTTATAGGAGTCAAGCAAGAAGGGCCACATTTTAGGCCAAATGAGCAGGATATAATAGCTTTTGAATGAGAGACATGAAACCACATTGAATACTTGCAATGTACTTATGCATCAGACCCTCTCTTTTGGTTTCTTCTGTTGTTGTGTTGTTTCAGTTTTCTGCTCCTCTTTATTTTGGAGCTTAAGTCCTTTAATATAAGATCAAAGCACTTTAATAATTGGATAAGTATATATTTCACCTTCCTTATTCTCAAAATCACCTGAACCAGTTTCTTTCTTTCTTTCTTTCTTAGCCAAAGACCCCCACCTGGAAAAAAATTTTCCAGAAAAATGTAAGTTTCAGAAAATTTGTATGAACCAGTAACCAAAACCAGGAGTTAGAATCGATACATGCACACAAGCTTGACTGTAGTGATCAACTAATATTCCAGTTTAACAACTCTTTTCTAATAAGTTGCTCTCACATAAATTGCACATGCTGGTTAGGCCGAGTGAAAGAGTGATATACTAAAAGAGTGATATGCTAAAAGAGATATACTGCTCAGGAAAAGAGAATTTGCTGTATTCATATATCCAGACCCACATCAACAAAGTCCTGAAGTTACCGATATGTGCAAAGTTTTATTCTCCTGTTCAGGAAGCTGTTTCAGAATAACTCTTATTACTTGGAAAGGAGTTGGAGGGTACTAGACGTCCCATTCATTTTGAAGCATAGATTTATGTCGTATTTTCTGCCCTAGAACTGGCCCCCTAAGGAGCAGCAGGATCTCTTGCCTTTTTCTTGCAACTAACTCCTGCTCCACTAATGCTCTGGCTTCATTGAGTGCAGAGAAGAGAAATCTGAAGAGTGCCAAATACTTTGAGCAATTTTCATTTTTAGTTGATGGCATCAATAACCAAAGCAAAATGTGGTATAAATTAGGACTTCCAAACTAAGGCCAGATTCCCTAGCTGTTGAAAACTGCTAAGCCTGAATTGTGACTGGTCGTGAGGGTTTTGCCGCTCTTCAAGCAGCCCTTTTCTAATGGGAGCCTGACCCAGTGCAGGGAATCAGGACCAAGGGTTTGAAATTAGGGGACATTAAACCTGGGAAGCTTTTACTGAATGGGAAGGAGTTGGTTAGTATAGTTTTAGAGGGCAGAAGAGGGGAAGGACATGCATGGGAAACTAGATCCTGCGGAGTGCAGCCTTTGGGGATTCAGAGAAGGGGTGAGAAGGGCTGACAGCAGCGATGCAGGATTAATGCGACAGAATTACTGCTCTGGACTTTCCAAATTGCACATGCCCCTTCCTTTCCCTGCAGCATGATTTTATTTTTAATCCTGGATGCTCCATCTGTCCCTCTGGCTACTCTCTCTTACTGCTTCAGGGCTGCTTCAAGGCTGCTGTGCCATGGCTTCCAGGTCTCACACGTCAAGTCTCGTAGTCTTTGCTGCAGCCTGTCAGGAGAATGAAGGCAGTTGTGGATGGCTGAATTCAACAGACCGGAGTGCCAACAGCAAGCACCGGGCACTCCATTCAGTGCCTCTGGGGAGCTGCTTAGTTTATTAGCGCCTCAAGGCTAGCCCTGAAATCGGGAGCATTAGGAAGGACACTGAAGGCTGAAGAGGTGGATTTACAGAAGGAACTTTTTAGTATCTTTGCTGGACAGGGAGAATGTGGTGGGAGCTGGGAAAAACAGTTTGCTAGGAGATACGAGAGGAATGCAGCTGCACCTGTACAGATTGTCTGCTTGTCGGCTGATTATCCCATGGGACAATTTCAAAGGCACTAAAGACAGTTAGGAACCCAAGTCCCTTTGAAAGTCATTGACTTGAAAAATCTCCCCGTGTGTTCAGTGCATGAAAAAGTGTATCTGACGTGAGGTCAGGATGTGAGTGCTGTACCCTCGCGTTTCTGCAGAGAACGGTTTGAAGGGAAACAGCTGGCTGTAAGACTAGCGAAACTCTGAGCAACAGACCTTACGTTGCCGTCCTATTCTGAAAGGCGCCCACGTAAAAACAGTACCTTCCTACTCAACAGATCCCTTCTCAGCGTGTAAACAGTCAGACCTAGTGACAAAAAGAAAACTTCACAGCTTTTTCACAGCCCTGAAAAGAGAATGCGGCTGGTAGGATAGGGAAATCGGATCTTAATTCAGATACCAGCAGAAACATTTATTAAGGGCCAATCACTTGTCTCTGTAAAGACCCTCTGACAAGGTGAGGGTTGTATAGGAGCTGCCAGGGACTGAAATTCAGCTTGTAGCACATCTTGCAGTAGTGAGGGAAGAAAGGAATGAGCCTGGGATTGATTTCATAGCCCAGAGGGAGTTTACAGAGCTGGCAGTCAGAGAGAAAATATTGCAGACTAGTAAGATGATTCTATGTGATATGGTCAGTAGAGTAACTTCCACCAAACAATTGTTGCTGGGGCCTTTTCCAGGGTGAAACTGCTTTTCAGTTCACCCTTACAAATCTCACTCTGCACGTGTGTGCTGATCCAGAGGTCTTTGCAGAAGGCAGAACTATACTTGTCATACCTAATAGTACTTACCCCATCCAGACAGCTGCAAATCCATGTCTTTCCTTCAGGACTGCGTTAAGAGTTAGACCTGAGCAATCCCAGGGAAAAAATGTGTGAAGTTTTTATAAATCCCCATTTTGACAGACTCTGGCAGAGCAGTGTAAAACTGTTCCTTGTTCCTTTTCTTTAGGTGTCTGATGGAATAGCAGCTCAAATAGTTCGGTCCCAAATTCACAGAAGAGGGACAGAGCTCCTATGACCCCTTTATGTCTGGGGTACTAATCTGAAAATTTCTACATCTTCTCCAGCTTTACTTGATAAAGCTCTGTCCCTTTCTTATTTTCACATGCAAAAGCTGGAAGGATTTGATTCAGGTGACCTTGTCTAGGGTGGGAAACATCACCAGTTTAATAAGAGGAGCAGCAGAAACAATTTTGTTGTTCTTACCCGGGAACAGAGTAGCTGGCAGTATTAATAAAGGGCTATCTAGCCATCCACCCGCAGATCACTTCCTCAAATAAAGATCAAGTCTAAAATTATTGTCATCTAGAGACTGTACATTAGTGAACATGAAAGAATTGAAGGCCTTGGCCGAGTTCCCAGTTCCACATCACAGCCTCCACCCCTGGACAGATATGGGCTGTCCCCTTGCTGGCATCTCAGCTGAGAAGGGTCAGGACCACGTAGCTTTGATGCTGAATTCCACTCTTACCCCTGGAGCTGAGAACAGAGCAGTCTGTGCTGTGGAGAAACAGAGCTTTTCAGTTTCCAGGGTCGCCAACTTGGTATGTTTTAGGAACACAGCACTGCAGAGAGACCTTTCTGGCTAATTCCCGTTCTCTGTTATTGCAGGTAGCCATGTTACCTAATCTTTCCCACTAACTGACCAAAGCTCCATTTTATAATTTAGCCATGGTACCTTTGTCCCAGAAGGCCATTTCAAAACATTGCTTTTCAGCTTGAAAACAAAACAAAACAAAACAAACAACCGCCATTTGAAAATATTAAAGGAAGTAATTTTACCTCTGTTTTATTTGGGGCCTGTCTTCTGGCTGATTTAATGGTTATGTTTATCCTAACACTGTTCATTCCTGTTCATCTATTAATTCATCCATATTCAGTAAGCAAGGTATTTGAGCATCTTCAGAAATGAATGTGTGATGATACTCGACTGAATATGTGCTGGCAGTGTCGTGCTGCTGTGGATGAACAGTTTGGGTTAGCTGTGGAGGGGATCTCCACTGCATTACAAGGTCAATTAACACAGTGTGTGTCTTAGGAGATGGAGGGTCAAGCCCACCCTTGACAAACTTGTATGGAAACTGAGGATTTGTTTAGCCTATATTACACATTTTTTGTAGGATGATGAGGGGCACAAGGAGACGTGAGGGGCGATGGAATAATGTTAACATGCCTCTTGTCCTTGCAGGCTCGGGGATCTGGAGGTGGCAGGAGACGGAATGATGCTGCCTCCCAGGATGATCATGACAAACCCTATGTTTGTGACAGTAAGTAGCACTTAGACAGCTGATTCTGCTTCCAGCCTGGTCGTACCAGCTCGGTGCACTCAGGGCTTCATGTTTTCCCTTCCAGCAAAGTATTCTGCTGCTCTCTGACATGCAACAATGCCACCTGCTGCTGCTGCTGCTGCTCTTGGTGTTTTTGCATGAAGGAAATAAAATTAAGTCCTCGGCAAGACTCCACTTCCCTTTGCCCTATAATAAATCATCTCTTATATTTTCTTTCTCCTTCTCTTTTTCTGGCTTCACTGCCTTTTGTCTTCCTTTCCCCCATGTAAGATTCACCCTCTATTTCTTTCTCTGTTTCAGATAGTTACAAACAAAAGCATAACTCAAAAATCTCCGACAAAGGTACTTCTCCCTTGTTGTATCTCTTAATATATTTGATGATTCTCTTTCCTTCAGTCCTTTTAAAATCTTACTGGGCTAAATCTTGACGGTCTTATTCTCATCCCTCACTCAGAAGGTCTCTTGTGGCATCATCAGGAGTTGAGCCCTCCTAAGAAACAAACACAACTGGAACGCTTTGTTTTGATATATATTCCCTTTGAATACAGCCATGCTGTTTGACATCTCGCAGTGGGACTGCAGGTGAAGTAAGGCATTGCCTAAACTGGAGAATGATGCCAGAGTGCAGTGCCCAAACTGAAGTAGGAAGGAGTCCTACTATAAGGAAGGAGGAGTCCAATATTTGATACACAATGTATATTTTTTACAGTCTAGTCCTTGGTCCTTTTCTTCTTCTTTTGATATTCTTTTTTTGCTTCACTGTGTCATTTCTGTGAAGGGCACTTATCTTACCCACATGCATGTGAGGTCTCCCCTCCTGAGGCTTACTGTAGAGCGTATGTGCAATAATAATTTGTGCTACTGGATGCCTTCTATCCTTTAAGGCAACAACCTAACAAAAGTTATCAGAAGTTAGAGAATAGCAGAAGGTCTTCTCTTCTATGACCAAATATATTTGGTGGTTTTGAGGACAATTAGAATCTCCCTTTCGCTGCCATTTGCCTATCTTGCAACATTACTGACCTTAAAAGGCCAACCAATACAATGTCAAACTATGGGGGTATTTCTTGCTTATTTAAAAAAAAAAAAAAACATGAAGAAATAAGGAGCATGCATGATAAATAAGAACTATATTCCACTTGATCAAATTGTATTCTTTTATGGTGAGACCAGGTGACGCTGCATAGTACAGTGATGGACATGTTGGGTATTTTGCTTCAGCAAGGTGAATATTCTGAGGGCAAAGAACAGAAATTGAAGGACTTGCACATGAATGGGAGTGTCTGAAGACATGATGAAGGAGGAAGAGCTCTTCAGGATATGAAGAGTCAAGAGATATCTGCTGTGATTAAATAGCTGTCCTTGTGTGTTGGAAGAACGAAAATGTGTCTTCTAAGACTTCCTCAATCAATAAAAAAGCTGAAGCCAAAGGAGTCGGCCCAAGCCATCTGCAAATGTTATCTCTTTTCTGGAACATCTTTCTAAGTCCAAGGACACTTGTCAGTAGTAGTAATTCTGAAGATAAAGAGTCTTTATTGTCCGATCTTGATTGCATTTGCATCTTACAGACAACTCACAACATGCCTAGTAGTGATTTTCACAGGGCAGATAAAACATCTGAGATATCAAGGCAGGCAGCAGCAATCTGGTCTAAAGTCAAGGCTCTGGTACATTGTTGTACAAATGGAATTTTGCCTTGGCTTACATTTTGGAGTATAAATATCCTCTTTGGTTTTGGAAATATAAACTGTCCTATTTCATTTGGCTGATACCTTTCATTTTTAAGAAACTTGTAGTTAGAGGGTGAGTCATAAGGAGTTTTGGAATCCAGACTTTACACAGCGACTCCTCCTTTTCCATTGTAGATAGCTGAGAAAAGGGTTATGTGGTAGCAGAACTCTTCTACCTGACTGAGGAGCAAAAGGGAAGAACTGTCCCAATTGTAATGCCATCATCCTGAAGTAGTATTCCGCCCTTGTTAACTTTCTGCAGAAATAGTACATCCAATTCATTGTTAACAATTGCCTGGAGACTTCTTTCCTTCTTGGGTGGATTTCTTGAATTATTTTTTTCTTTGAAATTATTTGCTACATATTTTTATATTATTATTTATATTATTTTATATTTTTATGTACATTTCAATCTATTTGTGGTAAGTTAGCAATTGGTTTGCAGTACTCCATGTGCAGATGTTTTGGGCAGATAGTTTTGTTTTACATGGAAACATGCAGGTCAGAAGTGGTGAATCTGTTTCCTGTTTGGGAAAACATGATTCCTACAATCACATTATTGGTATCAATAATTACCTTAATGGGATGACACTTTAATTTTTCTGTATATCATTTAAATTACCTCCAGGTGGCTTTTTCTGCAAGTGTTGTGATATTTGAGCTTGGAAAGTGACCACAAAGAAGAAAATATAAGCAGTTCTAAACCAAATTAATTTTGTTGTGTAACTGCATGGGCACAAAAAAATGATTTGTGGTGAGGAACTACTATGCTCTTTTTTCATAGTCACACATTCATGTTTATGGGAAACAAGAATATATCACCCAGTAATAAAAAGGTTATAGGAAAAACATAGTCTGTATGCTGGTAAGATGATGCAAGAGTGGTACCCAGCTGACACTGCCCCTTGGGTTGGAAGACGGCAATGTTATTTGTGAAAGGCCTGCCTTGTTTTGGATGAGGTGTTCAGCTATACACCAATATTAAAACTGGGCCTAATATTAAAACTGAATGGAAATAGAGAATTTCTATATGGAGGAAGGTTTTGTCATCCTGTGTTTTTAAAAAGAGGTGATTGATTGCTTTTTTTGTGGAATGAAATGTCCTGAAATATTCAGTGGATTTTATAGAGTATATACTGTATCAGAAGTTCCGAATGTTTGGACATTCAAAGCATCGATGAAATTGCTAAGATAATCATGAAGTGCCTTGTTTCATTGAATCAGCAAGTGCAAACCTAATTAGCCACATTTTCAACCAGTTGCACTGGGATGGTGTTGTGCCTTCAGCTCCTGTGGCATAAACGCTTGGATGATGAAAGTGGCAGCGAAGCCTGGTGTGAGATGGGTATAGACTGGAAATGGTAATGTAGCCAAATGGGTCAGCTACTGTTTGAGACCAGACCCAAACATTGCTTGAATACCTGGCTAGGAGATAGAGCAGGTGCCTTAAGGGGTAGTGAAAAGTAGGGCTTGAGGAGCAAAGCAAAGCCTCTGATGTCAAGCAAGAGAAGTGGAAGACGCCACCACAGCTGTCCACAATAAACTGGGCATGTGGTTTTTAAAGGAGGGACACAGTGAATGAATGTATGAATATCTACATATGTAATAAGAAATTATGTCATGTTGTTGTCAAATGTTCAGCTGGGGAACTACCAGTTCTAACACAGCAGTCGTCTTAAAAATTGTTCTACTGTTTTCACATTGGTTTTATATATTATTTACTATTTAAAAAAAAAAAAAAAGCTTCTCTGAAGTTTTAACTAGAAACTTCTGTTCTGGTTTAAAAGTTGGAAAAAGTTGTAGCACCGGAGCTTCATGATTCCAGAGGTGGAGTTCCTTTAGTCAGAGAAGTTAGTTTGGGCTGGATCTCACAAGTTATTAGCTTTCCTTCTGCCCATCCTCATTTGTCTGCTTTCATTCTTCTCATGTTCCCACAGAGACTTACCTATGTAAATACTTCCACCTTCGTTTTCTCTTCCTCTATCTGTGGAAGATCTCCCTTGCCCATCTCAAAGAGAAGTTGGTTTTTTCTTTTCCTTTTACCAATATGTCCTTGTCTCCTTTTAGTTTCATTTCTGTATAAACTGCTATTTTAGCGTAAAAAACATATGTTTGCATTATATCCTTTATTCCCAGTCCCTCTGAGGTTGAGATGTGCATTCAGATCCACTCCTTGTGCAAAATGAGAATTGACTTAAACCTTCCTATGGTCTCTGCTGGATCAGTGACTGATGCAACCTTGCATGTACCCAGAGACACTGATCCTATAGTATTTTCTGGAAGCTGATTCTTTTGTCAAAACCTTCATTTTCAGTTTTCTCTAGTTATTTAACCTGAATTTTCTCTGCTGTAGCCTAGGACCAGCAGTTCTTGCTCTGTTCGTAAACAGTTACTGGGACTTCTTTCAGCTGTGTTTTCTTCAGCTCTTTTACTAAGCCTGTTTCTTTTCTCTGAAAAAATCTCCAAAGGGTCTTATTCAAGTAGCCAGAACTAAGTAGTATGTGCTGTTCTGTGGATGGAAGCGGTTCCAAAGACGAATGGTTGATATAATTTACCTGTAACTTAAATTTACTTATAGAACCTGGATTGATGCAACTTGCTCTCTTACGGATCTATGAGAGGTATGGAGATGGCTGACCTGACAGGTTCTTTAGCAAACCCTTTTTCAATGCAAGATGCTCCTCTCCAGTGCTGTGTCATGTTTCAGTAGCAAAGGAGTTTTCATTCTTGTCCACAATGTGTGTTCGTATTTAATATACCATTTGCTGTAGCTTCTTGTTCCTTCCTTCTTCAACCTGTTTCTACTCAGGCAGTAGATTATATGGCATCTTTAGTTACCTCATTATATTGATTTGTCCTGTTTATACTGTGTTTTATTTATCTATACTAGATGTCATATTAATATCTACTAGATATGTTACTGTTTGAAAGAATTATTTTATTAATGAAGCTCGTATGATATATTTTTATTATTATTCTAACATTTTTGCCAACAATCAGTTCTCTGTATGTTTTACCTGTCACTCTCTATTCCACCCCCAAAATTAATGATAAAAACAGTGGCAAGCATTGGGCCCAAAATGGACTCTTTCAGGTGCTTAAAGATGCAGAAAGGTGCCTTGTGAAGTTTTCAAAAAATTAGGCTCCTAATTCTCACTGATTTCAGCTGGAGGTAGGCTCCTAAACTGTTTTCCCAGAATATCCCACTAAGTACCTATCTGCTTCTATCATGCCTACAGATCATATGAG